TGGAGTATCACTCTGTCGCCTAGACTGGAGTGCAGTGGCCGCTCCTGACCACCGCAGCCTCGATTTGCTGGGCTCCGGCAATCCTTCCGCCTCAGCCTTCCGAGTAGCCAGAATTACAGGTGCATGCTACCATGCCCGGATGAGTTTTTGATTTATTGTAGAGATGAGGTCTCGCCTGCCCAGGCGGGTCTCGAACCCGCGGGCTCAGGCAATCCACTCACCTCAGCCTCCCAAAGGCACGGGATTACAGGCTGAGCCACCGAGCCTGGCTGGTAGTACCTTTCTTAACACGCTTAAAAATGTGCCTTTTCCCTGGTGCAGTGGCCCATGCCTAATCCCAGAACTTTGGGAGGCTAAGGCAGGAAGAACACTTAAAGCCAAGAGTCAAACTAGCCTGGGAAATATACTGAGACCTTGTCTCTGTAAAGATAAAAAATAGGCCGGGCTTGGTGGCTCAGCCTGTAATCCCAGCACTTTGGGAGGCCGAGGTGAGTGGATTGCCTGAGCCTGCGGGTTCGAGACCTGCCTGGGGAACTTGGCGAGACCTCATTTCCACTATAAATCAAAAACTAGCCGGGCGTGGTAGCGCGCGCCTATAGTTCCAGCTACTTGGAAGGCTGAGGTGGAAGGATCGCCGGAGCTCAGCAGGTCGAGGTTGCGGTGGCCGGGAGCGGCCATTGCACTCCAGTCTGGGTGACAGAGTGAGACTCCAACTCAAAAAAAAAGATAAAAAATAAAAATATTAACCAGCCATGGTGATGCACACCTGTAGTCCCAGTTACTCAAGAGGCTGAGGAGGGAAGATCACTTGAGCCCAGGAGTTTGAGGTTGCAGTGAGCTATGATTGCGCCAGTGCACTCCAGCCTGAACAACACAGCAAGACCATGTCTCAAAATATATATATTTTGAGATTTCATATCAGTTTGGAAAGAGCTTCTATAGGGGCCAAGGGAAAGCTTTCTCTTTGCTCTCTGAGGTTTCACTAAAAAATTAACTCACAAAGGGAGATTAATTGGAGAAAAGGCTTACATTTTTTTTCTTCAAGGCTAGTCAAGTGAAGCAGTGAGAGTGGAGAAGGAACATAGAAATCTGTAACTGGTTGTGACCAAATAGTTGTAAACACCATTGCACTCAGATTAGTCAGCCTACAAATTTATTAACCTGCTTACAGGGGAGGACCACAGAGTGACTGCCCTAACTCCCCAATGGGGTTCAAAGCCTATATGCCACCTTGAGATTTATAGAAAGAATGTGGGCTTGGGTCATGGTAAAACAGGTTGTGGGAGGTGGGAAAGAGGAGGCCTGTGGATAAAACAGGTAGCAGCCCTCGGAGAGAACAGATGGCAAACGTTTCTCTCAGACCTCCCAAAGGTGTCAGGCTCTCAATTAATCTTTCCTAGTCTGGACAAGAGAAGGTCTCGGAGAAAACCTGGCTGCATCAATGCAGATTTTCTCTACAGATGCAAATATTCCCCATGAATGACAGTATTACAGGCTACTTCCGTTTGCAGGATCTCTGGACAGCCATCTCAATATATATTGAAGTAAGTTTGGGTATAAAATATTTTGACTTCCTTCTCTTCCTTATTCTTTTTGCAAATGCACAGCATTAATTTTGTGGTGATTGGTTATACCATAATCTATTAACCTAGTTGATGGACGTTTACATATTTTCAATCTTACACTATTATATACAACACTGTAATGTTTAATCTCATACCTAAACCTAATATGTAATATATTTATATCATGTTTCACGTAGTATATCTTCAAGATAACTCCTAGAAGTGGGATTTGTGAATCAAAGGATATATTGTGCACTTGTACCTTTTGTATCTAATCCTAATTGCCCCCACGTGGAGTTTAACAACTTGTACTCCTGCCAGGAATGCATGAGTCTGACTAATTCTCCAAAACTTTGACAAGAGTTTTCAAACATTGGGATTTTTTGCCAACCAGGCAGATAAAAAGTGGTGAAATCGCCTATGTAAAATTAATATAGGGCCACAGGGCAAAAGCTGTAGAAAAGACCTAAGCCCTACAAAGTCAGTTATAGTTAGATATTAACAAATAGGTTGTTTATACGTTTGCTTTCACTTCAATAGAGAGCAATTGATTAACTTTGTGTTTTGACCCCTTGGGAGGGGAGAAGCTGCCAGCCAGGCTAATAAACATATTTTCTTTTAAACAATGAGCCTGAGGTGAGGTCACACAGATCTCCATCATGGCATCCTGAAGTTTGATCGGCCCTGAAGTGGGTGAGCAGCTTTAATCTCCGGGGAAGCTGAGCTCGGTGGCTCAGCCTGTAATCCCGCGCTTTGGGAGGCTGAGGTGAGTGGATTGCCTGAGCCCGCGGGCTGGAGACCCGCCTGGGCA